TTTTTAATGGAAGACGAAAAATGATGAAAACGTTTATACAAGCTCAAGGACTAAGCAGATTCTGGACTTGTAAAACTATAACGCAACTATAAGGCGGTCATGACCTAGTTTTGAGTGCAATTGTACGCGATGAGGAGTGCGCCAGAGTTGGAGTAAGAAGAGAAAAGGTGTTAAAGAAGGATGGGATAAAGCTACTCTCTGGTCAGCAGATAAAGAACTTGGTCGGTGATGATCACTATAGATATCTAGGAGTGTTAGAAAAGGAAGATATCATCAGAAAGTTAAGAATAGCATCCAACTAGAATACAAAAGGAGATTAAGACTGGTTCTTAAGTCAAAGTTATCAGGAAGAAACGCCTATGCGGTACCAGTAATGAGATACACAGCTGGAATAGTAAATTGGACAAACGAAGAACTCCACTCTCTAGACAGAAAGACRCGTAAGATAGCAACCATACATCGAGGGCTACATCCACATGTTGATATAGATAACATCTATCTTCCAAGATCTATGGGTGGAAGAGGATTTAAGACCGTAGAGGGCACTGTAAGAGAGGAAGAACTCTCCCGGAAAGAATATGTCAGCAAACATGAAATTATATGGAACATTGTAAAGGAAACCGTGAAAGAATCAGAAGAGACCAAGAAAGAATACCAACAGCGCAGGCAGAAAAAGGCGAAACTCATTGACATCTCAGTGCCTATGGGCCATAGAATTGATCAAAGGGAAATGGAAAAGATTGACAATTACCAAGATCTAAGAATAGAAATAGAAAGATTGTGGAGTATGAAGACCATGGTAGTTCCAACAGTCCTTGGATCGCTCGGAACAATATCAAAACAATTTAAGGATCATGTTCAGAGCAAGGGCGTTGGTTGGGAAGGACGTTCATTTTTAAAGATTAGTGAACACTACCTAGTATCCATTTAGAAACATACATATATCAATTCAATTAGAATAACTGAAACAATCACACATACCTTTAAACCCAATCCGTCTGTCCTGGCGCCCTTGTTCAGAGACTAGAACTTGATAGTATATGCTTGTTAGAACTACAGAAATCTGTACTTTTAGGCACGGCACACATCTTAAGAAGAGTACCTCAACTCTCAGGAGCCGGGTAGAATCTCGAGCTCAAGGTTAATGTATACCAGCAAAAGAGTTTTAATATTCCTATTTTGCTGTGCAATAAAATAAAATAATAATGATAATAATAATAATAATAATAATAATAATAATAGTTCTTTCTAACATACCACCAAAGAGAACTACAAACACGCGCAGCAAATTCGAAACCAAACAAAAACTTAGCAACGAGGTGAAATATCGAATGATGAACAACACCGAGTAAGAACAAAATATTAAATTATTATAAAGTAATCCAAGTAAATATTGTCCTAGATTTTCTAGAGGGTCATAAGAAACAACTTGTACATGATATGGAAAGTGTAGTTATAGCTGATGGACAAAACTTGATAAGACAATACCAAAAGTAAATGATATTGCAAAACTGCGACGGAAATATTTGTTCGTGACACACTAAGGATATAGCTTAGAACTATAAAAGTTTAAATAAACGAAGGTAATAATAATAATAAATATTATTATTATTATTATTTGTTTATTTCAACTTCAGACATTTTTGCTACATGAATACAGAATATTGCGGGCATGAATAGTCTAAGCAAATATCTGCATGACTGATTTTACAAAGATGTATACAAATTTAACAATTGTAAAGACATTTCACAATCTCACAGTTCTGTGAAATAACCCATTTCTGACACTTTGAGGGCTTACATCAGCCAGTTTACTAATCAAATCCGGGTGGTACCCAGATAGAAAGTCAAATACTATGTTGACTTGCGTTACTTTATATCCAGGGTACATTCTTTTAAGACTAAATCTTAAGTCAGTATATTTAACAGTTTTCTTTTTATCCCTGTCAAGTATCTCTCCTACATTACAGACTGTTCCTTCAAATATAATCCATTGCTTGTCTTTCTTATTCCACACAAGGATGTCTGGTTTATTTGTACCGCCTTTTGTTTGTCTCCCAAAGCAGAAATATGCTAAAAAATATGTGCCTTTTTTTCGATGTGTTTTGCACAAAACCACACAAACAACTTACGATAACTCCGCTAAATTTGGCCAATTATTCTGAGTTATTCAATTCTCTAAGTGTCCTTTCGAAACATTATTGGATAGCCAAGTGTTAGTAAACGAAACGATTCCTATTGACGGTTTTTTAAGGAAATAAAGTACTCGCACCGAAGCAAAAAACAAAATGGCGGACACCATGCAGGCCTCGTTAAGTGAAAGTGCGCCCGCGGGGGCATATGGGATTAACTTGCAGACAAAATCATGCATTGCGCGTAGGGGATTGTCTCCCGGTTCAACATACTATCCCAATTTGGAAGCATAATACTAATCTACTAACAATTACACTCATGATTGTAAGATGCACGGCTGCCAAGGCGCCTTAATACGCAGCCCGTAAAGTCCTCCACTGGTTATAAATGTGAAGCGCATTGAGATATTTGAATTGCGCTATAGAAGTATCCCATTATTATTATTATTATTATTATTATTATTATTATTATTATTATTATTATTTCCGAGATCACCTGGCCATACGTACCTAAACATGAGTTAGTGCAATTTTTTCGGTCGACTGCAGATCAAGGTTCTGCTAATAATTCAATTGATTCGTTGTTAAACAAAAAGTTGATTGTCGATTATCAAGCAGTATGTTCAAGACATTCACCGCGCACAGGTAGTCGACCAAATAATTTACTTAGGCCCTGTGTATATGACCGCAGTTATCAATGAAAGCCAGAGTCCATGGTTCGTAGCTGAAATAACTCTGGTGTTTTATTTTCCTTCAGGGGTCGACTATCATCTTTGTGCAAGTTATTTACAATCCCTGTACGTTATATTACTAGTGCTATAGAACTGCAAATGAAAGCGTTTAAATCATTTACGCAAATACAGTGTAGCAGACTTAATGCTTTCAATTTATAATTGCGCGCAAAATGTTACAACAAATAGCAAACAAAAAATTAAAAAAACATAACTCCGTGCAATTAACACTTTTTATTTAGAATATTTCGCATGTTAAAGACATGCTCAAGTGAAAATCATGCTAAAGTGAACCTCCTCCACGTGCATCATTTTAATTGGAAAAACATTGTGAATAACAACATAACTTAAGCACGCCACATCGCTCACATCACTCTTAAGCCTACACTACTTCTACTATATGACGAATCCAAATAACAGAATACTGTCATTCCTTCATATTTTAATTCTCATTTACAATGCAATTAATGTATTTTTTAACAATAGTAATAGTCTGTGGTCATTTTATTTTACACGTCACGGAGGAAACTTGTGATAAAATCAATTATGGTTTACGATTTTAGCACTAGGAGCTAATGAAAGGATTCCTACTCTAATGATTAGATAGTACACATGGATATTAATAATAAGCCAAGCACACTCCGGCGGTACATCTGGATGCCTTGTCTACTGGTTATTATATATAGTACAGTTGGTTACCAACAGTGTTTTAAAAACACTCCGGCGGTATCAAATCGTTACCAAAATTCCTTGGCGAGCTATACATTTTTGTCGTTTGCATTCGGTGGAGTTAGAGGGAAACATTCTAAGTCCGGTGCTAATTAATTGGAGTAGACATAACAAGTCGTCTTGCTGTTCTTGTAGTAGCGTTTGGATGTGGTTTTTGTTACGATATGTATGTCACGCAATCACACAATCAGTCATTTACTCGATGTAGCCTGTAACCCTATTATTATTGTTATTCGGTCTCAAACTTTAGTAAAACACGAGTGAGTACTAAGAAGACGCCTATATTGATCCTCTCTGTTGATTAAATATCATATGCTATTATAACATGGCGGCAAACGAGATCAAAGCTAGAATGCCCTGATTGTTGCACCATAACATCTTCGACTTCCAAACAAGGTCCTGTAGCTTCCATGACTCAAGGGATAACGCCCCTTTGACATCTCCAAATTACTGAGAACAACACTGACAACTGGAAATCGTACATACAGATCTGTGAAAACTACATTATCATAACCAGCCTCAAGGATCAGGCCCGGGAATACCAGGTAGCTCTATTTCTACATTGTATTGGGCCAGATGCCCTGCAAAACTATAATGGCCTGTCGTTCGCCAGCGATGATGAGCGAAAGAACATACAAACGATCTTTGAGAAATTCAATGAACGATTGGGGAATTCAATGAGACATATAAACGCTTTGTCTTTAACAGCAGATCACAAGAACCAAATGAGTCGGTTGACGCGTACATAGCCGTACTGCGATCGCTGACCAAAACATGCGGGTTTTTTGACTGCCTCTCCGAAAGCTTACTTAGAGATCGCACTATCCTTAGTGTTTACAGTAACAATCTCCGCAAACGTTTGCTTCAAGAGCGTAAGCTTGATTTCAAGAAATTTATTGATTTATGCCGAAGTGCGGAGGACACCGCGTCACAGCTTAAGAATATACCTGAAGGCAATAGTTTAAATGATAAAGTGTGAGTGTGAGTGTGAGTGTGAGTGTGAGTGTGAGTGTGAGTGTGAGTGTGAGTGTGAGTGTGAGTGTGAGTGTGAGTGTGAGTGTGAGTGT